TTCTTCTCTGCGATTGTGTTAATTTCACGAAATTTATGTGACTGCACGCAGATCCTATTCGATGGATCGTGACTACAAACATAGTAGCTATCCACAATATTGTCGAAGAATTACCTAGATTGTCTTCTTCTCTGCGATTGTGTTAATTTCACGAAATTGAGTCCCAAATCTGTGTCACAAACAATTAATTTCCATCAATCCAAATACAAAATTGAAAATATTCTGTGACACGGAGAAAATAATAATTTCGAACTAAGTTCAAATTCATCGTCCGTTACCTTCTCTTTTCTCCTTCTCCGGCGGCCAAAATAGGGTTGTGACGTGAAATTCTGAAATTTGGGCTCTTTTGGTTGAGATCTCAATTGTTGTAGTGGAAGGAATCCTGTTATAAATGGTAACTGAGCTTGATTTCCAAACTGCTGTAACAAAAATATATATATATATAAAAGAAATTTGTAAAGTTTCTAAAGTCCGCGTGTTAACTGGTATAATTAAAGGGAAAATTATATAATTATAATACTTTAAGTACATAATTTCACATTTAACAAACTTACATAAAAATTTCAAAATAAGGTACTACATATATTTATAAGATATTATTGCGTATGAAATTTAGAAAACCCAAATCTACAATAATCTCTCATTTACCATACCCAATCCAATCAACTATAATTCGATGTTGGTGAGAGGCTGGATGAGGATTTCGGTGTGGTGGATCTTTGGGCAATGACAACGACGATAGTGTCGAAGGCGAGAACTCAGTGGAGGAATGGAAGACCCGATCTTAATCGCCCTAACATTGTCATTTTTCGAAATTTAGGGTTTTGATTTCTTTTGTTTTTTCTGTATACTGTTTTCTTCTTTCTTTAACTGTTGAGTGAGAAAGACGAATTTGACTATTGGCCTCATCGAAGGTGGCAAAAGTAGTGGATGATTTTCATTAAGTGTGACGGTCGCGCCTTCTCCAGATAAGAAGTAAACAGTGCGGATTTCGAGTACGCCGCAGTTGCAAACGACCACTTTTTTAGTTGATTTTGGGACATCCATGGGCGGAGATGCAAATGAGGAGCAGCAAATTGAAACTAAGTTAGGAGTTAATTTATGAAATTGCTATGAAAATTGAAAAGAAATTGAAGAATGTAACTAGGGACGGCAAAAAAAACTCGTTCAATCTGATACCCGTGGGGCCCCGACCCTGAATGGGGAGTGTATTACCCGCCTAACCGTGTATATGGGATGGGTATGGGGCAAGGGTCATTGTCCCGAAACAAGTATGAAATTGGTACGGGAAACATAGTCCCCACCTCGTTTAATATTAATTTCAAATTTAAATTTTTATCAAACAAAAATAATAGATTTATCATTCTTTTTAAAGAAAACATAAGTTGTTTCTAACAAATTGGTAAAAAAGTTAATACTTAAAATATTTCATTTATATCATTAACATTTATTATTTTTTGCGCAAAAAAATTCCCAATATAATTTACATCGTTTTGTTAGAAAATTTTACGTGGGATATGATATAAATTTTTTTCAAAATTTTACATCCAAAAAAGTTCTACCCCATGTAAATTTTCAGATGTAAAATTTGGGGAGTATAATTTTTTTTTGGATGTAAAATTTTCAAATGTAAAATTCCTCATAACTTTTTTGCATATTTGATTGTGTTCCCTTAACTCAAAATATCTACATTCGCCAACGTTGCCTTTCATTTTCCTCAATATTAGTTTCAGACAAAAAGGGATTATTCTGGAGCGATTATTTTTAGTTTTGCCAGCTGTAATCAAGCATTTGATCCATCTATGGAGTACGCCTCTTTCTCATGAACTTCCAGTAACTAACCACCACCCAATATGCAACATCACGCACTCTACCATCATGCCATAGATTTTCAAGTATTGTTAGCCCTTCAGGACGGTTTACTCGTCGAAAAACTTGAAAGTTTAACGTGCCTGCTTGAATGCAATGGACATTTTTTTAAGATGAAAGGAATGAACTTAATTTTTGTTTGTTTTAGTTACTGGATTCTTCTTTTTTTATTCCCATGTTCATCATCAACTAATAGTATTAGTTTCTCATGATTTTAAAGAAATAAACTCGAACTTGAATGGTAAACAAGAAAAAATAATTATTTATCGCTTTCTAAATATAAGAAATAACGTATTTGTTGCTAAACTATTTCAATCTTCGACTGTTAATTTCTTTTATGCATATTTTCTATTTATTTATTTAGAAAAAATTTGGTGGAAGTCTTTGAGGAAAAGTTGTTGACTTTTTTCTTTCCGATTAATTAGAACATTTGAAGAGGCAAAACAAGCCAGATCATATATATATACTTTTTTTTTTTTTTTTAATATGCTGCTGGATTTGTTGTGGTATTATTTTGGTAAGGAAAAATTTCACAAGTAAGAGATTAATTATGACACATTTCACAAATAAGAAAACAAGTTTCAAATTTCAAAAATCAGTTTTTTATAAAAAATTATTTATAATTTAATCAATTATTTATTTATTTTAGTAATTAAATATATTTAAGTCACATATTTATATATTTTGATCACAAATTAACAATTTAATTCGTCATTTATTATTTTTTGATTACAAATCAGAAATTTTATGTCACAAATTATTTTACGATCACAATTCAAAAATTTTATAAGTCACAGTTTGTTCATCGTTCACAAATCGAAAAATTTATAAGTCACGATTTATTTATTGGCAACAAATTACAAATATTACAAGTCACAATTTATTATGCAGTCATAAATTATCAAATTATCGATCACAGATTAACAATTTTTTAGGTCACACATTATTTTTCAGTCACAGTTTATATTTTTCTATTAGTCACATATTATTTATTTGTCACAGATTAACCAATTTAATGATCACAGTCAACCAAATAATTTGTGACCAGTACCAACACTTATGATTCACCGTCACAATTTTCAAGTCATGTATCCAATTATGAGTCACAGTCACAATTTTCAGGTCACTTTTCCAATTATGAGTCACAATTGAAAGTCACAGTCACAATTCTCATCGCAACCATGGTCGTCGCCACACACCAATACCACAGTTGAAAGTCATAGTCATGGTCCACAACTACCGCAGCCACCCCAAATCATCGCCACCAATGTCACCGCCACACACCAACACCACACTCCTTCACAGATGGCCAACAGATCTACAACACCACACACCTCTATAGATCGCCACCGTCGTTGTCTCACACCAACACCACACACCTCCACAAACCTGTAAATCGGTCGGCGACGAGAAAGGTGAGAGAGATCTCTACAGACCGCCACACATCTCCACAGATCGCCACATACCATCACTGCTATCACACACACGCCACCACACCCACGTCTCGATGCTGCAACGGCATTGGTCGACGATGCTGCTATGACACTCTACAGCCTTCATTCCAGCACACACCACACATTTACACAAACACCTCCACCAGATCTGTACAGCCATTCCCACCTCAACCACCACAGCCAACATCACCACCGCACCACAGCCATTACCAACACCATATGATTGTAGCCACCGCCAAAACCTACAATAGCAAAAAACCACGGTCTCATCTCAAAAGATCTGCTTCTCCTACAAATCTTACAGATTTGATTCATGACTACGTTCATCGGAGTAGAACGAGAGATAATGAGGCGGCACCGCACGTCACGCATCTTGGCCCTAAAGTGACCTGTGATGATGGTGGCGGTGTAAGGTTGCTTTGCGATTCTTCACTCCGACTGGGTCATTTTCGAACAAAGAGAGATAGGTGAGAATATATAGAGAGAATTGACAATTTTCGACGGTGAAGATGGGGTCACTACTTATCAACGATGAAGACATCGATCGAAGAGGGGAGTCAACTGCCGTACATGAGATCGGCGGTGGAGGTGAGACGCCGAAGAGCTAAGCACCACCGATGGAAATTTGAGAAAGAGAGCGAGAGAGTCGAGCTTCCGGTGAATGAAGAGAGGAATTGAGATTGATATAATTAGGGTTTGAAATTGTTTTGCTTAAGTAATTTTTAAATATATTAATTAATTAAAAAAATTCTAATTTGTGAAAAACTAAGCACAGCATCTTATTCATGAAATGGAAATTTTTAACTTATTAGAATTTGTAATTTCCACTTTTGGTAATGACTCTCATCGAATGGAAATCCATTACTTTGGTAGCCCCAAAATATTGGTCTAACAATATCAAGCGCAGAAAATTTTCTAGTGAAAATAACTTCTAAATACAAGAAATTTAAGAAATATGTGAGATGTTGTAAGAATAATTTTTCTTGATGGTCTCGTATAAATACCTTAAATGAAAACTCTCTCTCTACACTATATAACCGAGATGATCTCCTCCATTTAACAATTGAAAGTGAAAGTATAAATAAGGGACTTTTTAAAAACGAGCCCGAGCCGTCCATAAACCAAACCAACCGACAAGTGGCTCTACACATTTGCCACCCCTTATTCTACATGTAGATGTGCATCAAATTACACGATTTCAAAAATGACTATTTGAGCTTCTTTAGTGTACACATTTACTTTAAATACCTCCCCATATTCTTTTGATTCACTCCAATGCTTCTTACTTTTTCCTTTTTTTTAAAATAAAAATTGACTGCCAGTTTGCAAACATAAATTTTCATCAAATTCATACTATTTAAATTTTCAACATGCAGGTGACCCTCATTTTACCATCTACTCGTCGCTTTGCAAAAGTGCTTCTTCCTTTCTTTTTACCATCTACTCGTTGCTTATAAACCACATACTTCCTTTACTTTTTTTTATTTCTTTTTACAACATGTTCCATTTCATGTTAGGATGATGGAGTGCTGGAGTTCACGCTATTTGAAATATTGACATGTGAAGTGGGCCCTCTTATTTCTTTGCAACAACACTCCAAAGATAATAATAAATTAAATCAATAAAATGTTTCGCAATCAATTTAATTACACTTTTTTATAGAACGGCACTAAGAAAAATCTCATAATTCTGAAATAATTTATAATTAAAGGATATAATTTCATTCTCAAATTAATAATAGTGTCCATTTGTTGTCATCCTTGAGATAATTCCCAAATGGAGTGGCATAGATAGGTTACAGTGGTCATATAACATAAAATTAGACCTTTAAACAAGAAAAACCCAATAGCAATGACAATGATAGAAAGATTTCATCGTTACTACTAGAACTTGATATATAAGATTACTGATAAAAAGTAATAGAGGCCTTCTCAAGGGCACTTTCGTCAACAGGTTGTTTTTCAAGGGCATTTTGGTCCTCCTTCCTTGGTCTTCCAGTTGTTGTAGCAAGGGCAAACACTTTTATTACCATAATAACCTGGTGGCACACAGAGACACTTTCTGCAGCACTTCTGGCAGAAGAACATGCATGGTTTGTGGTACTGTGTCTGGCTGCACCTCCTTGAGCATTGTGAAGGGCATTCTAGTCATTCCAAGCAATCCAAAAAAGGACAGAAAAAGTTGATAAATTAGTACCCTTTGTTGACTACTAGTCAAAGAATACAGTAGAAATGTCATCACTCGAAATGAGCAGATGGTCAAACTACTTTTTAACTTGCAAAATGGGGATCTCAAGATTTGAAGCCATTTTTCTTGAAAATAAGCTAAAAATTCACGGCAGATTACTTCCTCAAGAATCCAAGATCTAAATGCAATATACTACTCTAATGTAGGCTGCATTGTTAGATTTAATCAAACAAATTTATAAAACAATATATAAATTTCTTAAATGCAGGCTTAGCCCTTTTTTCTTCCTGGTGCTGTGCAATCTTCCTATGAAGGTGACGACGTTCGACAGGATTTTGACTGAGGATGATTTTGTCTTCGTTTTCTAGTCACTAAACAAGCCATAATCAATTGATCCAAACTTTTTGAGATCAAACATAAGAATTAAGATAGTGTATGGTGTATAAGTAGTTTCACACCCTTTCAGATGTCAAAATTGGGATCATTGATTTGAATAAGTGTTGTTAAAATCAAAACATTCAACAATGGTGTAAGCGTAGCAAAACTGTAAACATAATTCTAGAATACAGAGTAACACTCACGGAAGCTTTTGAGGTTGCCAGAACCAGACCCACTCTGAAATAGAAAAACAAGAAAAAAATAAATGTCAGCACAGATCTTCAGAAAAAAAAGAAAAAACCAAGGTATTCTAGTAAGAGCCTAACCTTATTAGGGTGCACACCTGCCATCACCTATGATAAGAATATATGCAAGAATGTATCAGAAAAATGGCACCATTATCAAGTTAAAAATCCAAAGTAATTAAGAAATAAGTACTTACCGTGATCTGCAGCATGGAAATGGCTAGAAGTGCAAGAAAAACTAAAGCAAAGAACTTGGCCATGGTTTTGCTCAGCAAAGACTAAACGCCCCTCTTCTCTATGAGTAAAATGGGATTAAAAAAAAAGCAGCTTATAAGCGAGAAGAGGGGCTTTGCAGTGAGGATGTATGGTGTTTGGGGATGTATAAATAGGGAATTCTTTGGGGCTTTGTGGGGAGTGGGGGATTAAAATATAAATTTTGGCAGCCCACCGACTTCTCAAGAATTTTAATGCTTTTAGGCCCACTTGCTTTAAATGGGCACTTGTGGAAGACTATTTTCACCTGCAAGTTGATGTCTTGATTTAATTTTCACTGTCCAATAATAATCACAAAATTAGGGAAAGAAAAAAAAAATACAAGTAAACTTTACTTTCTATATAAAAATAATAATAAATAAATAAAAATTGGAGATTTAGTCCCAAAAAAATGATCTTTTTTTTTTTTTTTTTAATTTAGTACGAGAATTTTTGTAGATTTACTATATGTTGCATAACTTGAACAATTAATTATATAGGTATTTAATTCACAAATCTTTCGATTAATTTCTTTCAGGTTGTATGAATTTTTTGAATCTTCAACTTAGATCAACAATCTTCGAATTTCTTGATTTTCTTGAATTGCATCCAATCTTCGAAGTTTGAATTATTTTTGTCATTGGGTTCACATTACACTTGATGAGTGAACACCAAGTTCTAAGCAAGTATCCATAAACAAGAACCAACTTTAGTTCCTGGAGATCAAGAGAAATTATATCAAAATCTCTACACTTCAAGTCACAAGTCTCGTTTCCTTGTTGAGAAGGCTTAGATTTTAGTATGTTGTGAACTTGAAACTTAAGCCTCTGTTTTACGATCATTCTTTCAAAACTATATTTTTTTTCTCATATTCATTTTTAATTATATATTTTCACAATAAAATTTTTTTCACATAAACTCAAAAAAATTTCCTATATATTTTTTTTTATCACACATTCTTCAAAAATTTATTATTCAAAAACTCACTCTTTTGAAAAAATAGTTGTCAAACAAAGGCTAAGTTCTAAGCCACATAGAACTGTTCCAAGTACATGATCAAAGGGATCCACAACTTTTCAATTATATATTTTATCAACTTCTATCAAAATCTATTAAAAATATGATTTTAATCATTACCAAATATGGGAAACATGTGTATCACTTAAACTTAAATAATATGTATAACTAAGTCCTTGGACTTTTTCGAAACTACTAAGGATCCAATTAGACAATATAAATCAAACTATAATATTTGAACATAGATTATCTGACCTGACCCGACCTATCCAGTCAATTATTAGTCTGGACTTTCTACTAAATGCCCAAAGGTTGACCTTTTGAAATATATAAGATCATGGGAATTGTATCATTTCAATTCTCGACAATTAAATTCTCTTGACTTGCTATCTTATTTCATTATTTCTATCAGCTATCAAATAATTAGGCCTCGTTTATGAGTGATTTTTTACTCCCAAAAATTGATTTTTTGATCGTTATTTCACTATTCTAGCTGTAAATCTTGACTTCTTCTCTCACAGGTGGCCCTCACTTTTTTCTTAACGGTCAAAAAATCAAATTTCAAAATTACTCCCAAACGAGGAGTTAGTGTTGCGCTAAATTGACTTTTATCCATACTAATTATTATCTCACTTTATCATCGATGGTTTCTTTGCGAACAAATCGAATTAAAACTGGGCAAAAATAAATACTTAAGCAACTCTTTTAACTTTTGAATCAGGACTAATTTGACCACGAATTATCATGTACTACTTCGCTTACTTTTGATTACTGATATTTCGAGGTATTTAAGATTTCACTCATTGATATATCATAGACCCTAGATTCAACAAATAGCAATTAATAATCTGTAGCAAAATAAAGTAAATTATAAAGCAGTCAAGTGAATTTTAATTCTTGTTCACAACCTCATGCATTATAATCAAACTTCTACACAAAATGGTCATGTCCAATAAACTTTCATTTATGTGTCTTGGTCATCTCGCACGATCAAAACAAATTGCATACTCCTCAATTTGCAAAGTAATAACTGTTACGATTTTAATATAATAGAGGGTCAACTTCTTCTTCTAGAGTCATTGACAAAATCAATCTGCAAAATAGTATATTACGTTCTAACCATCCTTTTCTGTATTGCACTCATCAATATTGAGAGGGATTTTATATGCCTGCCCCAAAAAAATTAACTTTTTTTACAGAAGTAAATAAAATACTATTATTTATTCATAACACTCAAAATATTTATTTTATTACAGTAAAATTCTAAAACTTTTGAACACATATTCAAATAAAATTGAGGGTACACGTCAAATCTGTTAATCACCACATATGTTACGAGATCTAAGAAAATTGCAATGCTTCATATAATTTTAATGTACTTGCTATTTTAGCATTTTTTTTACTCAACAAGCATTACTCTTATTAATGTGAGAAGATGTGATAAAAGTTCAAAACTTGTCGAATTTCGACAACTTTCTCTTTTATTTCAGATACATAAATCCCCTAGCGATAATCTATTTATCATAGATACTCATTAAATCTAACAATGAACTAAATGAAATTACGAAGGTGGAAATGTAACTTTCTTCAAATTTAATTGGAAAAGTCGAGATGTAGTATTTAGTGTCGGCCCTGACTATAGACGGGTAAGTGATCGCCTAAGACTCCACATTGGTGAGCCCAAATTTTTTTATCATATATATATATATATATATGATCTCATATTTGAAATTGGTCTAAAACCCCCCAAAATCTCTGAACCAACCTTGGTACTATTCATAAATTTTCATGGGAGATAAAATGAAAGAACAAGAGGTAATTAGAAGCTTTGACAGTATTGAACATACGTCAATTTCATTTAGGATCTCAAGATTTTGTAATATATGGATTTTTTTATTAAACAATCGTCTATGAAATAAATTTGGTCACTTATTCTGGAGATTTGATGGAATTCCTTTTTGCTATATTGATCCACAACATGATTCTTAATCTTACGGGACCAAATAATGAAAAGAAAACATAGAAAAAGGGAAGTAAACAAGTTCACATCTAGTGATCCACAAAGAAAGCGATAGATGGTCAAATAAAGTTATTTTTTTAAAGTTTTTAAATTTTTTTTTTTTTGAAAAATGTGTGATATAAAAAGTAAAAAAAAAAAAAAGAAGGGAAAATCATAAATCCACACATAAAATTATTTCATTGAAAAAATAAATTAGGCAAAAATGAGTTCGATGAGAACTATTTATTTGAATAAAACATTAAGTCCTTACAATGTGCAAGAGAATTCAAGACATGTGGGGGGTGTTAGTTGGAGAAGTTGTGGATAGAGTCCCCAAATTAATACTAAAATAAAAGCACACAATAAATTTCTACAAAACAGTTAGAGAATATTATAAAATTATTAATAATTCAATGGGAAAGTGTACCAATCAGAGAAAAAGTTGAAATCTGAAACCCATTGCATGTGCTTGGCAAAGGCAAGCACATGTATCAACTGCCTACTCTGTGCTGTAGCCCATCCCCTTTTGCTTTTAAATCTACATTTAGGTACCCATTATATATTCCTGTGGGGTCCGCGCATGACGTACTCCGGTTTATGAGTTTAGAGTCGGGTGTGAAGAGGCAACATCGATGAGATGAACTTCCTTTAGCTAGATTATGCCCTGTTTCTAGATTTTAATTTAAATTAAAGTTAACAATTAATTTAATAATATATTTTATGGATTTCGCAACTTTTTAACCACATATTTCATTAATTTCTTTCAAAATCTACTAAAAATTTGATTTTAATCCTCATCAAACAGGGACTATGTTTGATTAGAATAGAATCGTCAAAATGTGTTAATCAATGTTACTTCAGACAACTCGTCAAGTAAAATACACGTATCATTCCATCATGGACCGCGATACGGGCTGGTCTACCTTGACTTTCAGGCTCTACTAGATTTGACTAAAGAAGTTCACAATGTGTTAGATCGACATATAAAAAAGAATGTCATTTTTCTAGGCCCAGCATCTTGTGGCCTTTCTGCCAGGCTTCCAAAGTCTAAGTGCTTTCTAGTGTTAATATTTAAGATCGAGTTAGGGGACATAATGGTTAATATAGGGGATGATCGAATACACATATTTCGAGAGTTGGGTATTATTTAATTCACGTGGGACCTGCGCACTTTGTGAGGGTCAGTCACCCCGGACGTCTATCATTTTCTGGTAAAGTGGCATTTTCCTAATATTTATTCGAGTTCATGCTCATTCAAAAAAAAAATATAAAATTTCTTCTTTTTTGATACAAAACAAGGGGTAAAAGATAGTAGGTTAAACATGGAATGGCCCCGCATGAGTCGGGTAGGCTAAGGAGTGGCAGAAGAGAAGCTGCCATTTAAATCGATCATGTATTTAGAAGGGTCAATACTGAGCGTCAAATTTATTGTTATATTAGGATGCCTCAGTTGAATATATCATCGCACTTCCAAACATGTCTCAATTTACAATTTTACATTGAAATATTGATAATTAAGTCCCTGTTTGAACCCCATTACATTAAATTCTATTATATTCCATTTTTTTCTCTCTTATTTTCAAATACACAATTTTTCATAAAATAATATTACACATAAATCGAAAACTTTTCATTCTTTTTCAACCACTCATTTTCCGAAAAAACACTATTCCCCCATTAATTTTTCTATGTAATGGAGATCAACCAGGGGCTAAATGTTCTTCAAGAGTAATGTTATTTACTCTTTTAGTTCTTCTAATGATATGTTATACAACATAATTATCAAAATAATCATACTCATTTAACTAGGGATGATTATGCTCTCGTTGAGATTGATTCGTGTGAGAATTTAATTGAACAAATCATAATTAATGTCTTCTTACCATTTCTCTATGAAAGAACAAAAAAAGACCAATTTTAATCATTTTGCGAAGTGAATATAACAATAAGTATATATTAAATATATGATCAATTTCGATTATTTCGACTAGTAAAATACATGATTAGGCATAAATTAAACATGTAAGTTTTATTACTATCACATTTTCTACTAATACCAAATGTCAATTAATGGGACTACACATAATACTTATCTACTTTTCTTGC